CCTTGAGATGATTTTGAATCATTATATGAAATAGCAGCATAAATGGTAGTAGGCGACAATGGCATGTTATCCATTACGAAGAAAACAACCATAACATTTAAATTAATCCCATGGAAATAAAGTATTTCCCAATTTTTTTAGGAAAGAACCGCCCTCTCCCCTTTTTGAACAAATCTCTCTGGTCTTATTTGACGAGCACAAATCACCAGAATGATTGACAATTGGGAGGAGCAATAATCTTGATGATCCACCCAAAAGTATAAAATCTTCCGATATACCTTCAATATTTGGTCCAGTTTTGGTTCAGTCCACAGAAACTGAACTAATTTTAATCAGAATAGACTATCCAATCTAACTAATGTGAAACAAGGCATTTATTTAGATACCTTCATATTCCACATTTTTTTTTATAAATTAAACCCACTTATTTTTTTGGCCCCTGACCAGCTTTTTCTTTTTTTCTTCGGCCCTTAACCAAAATAAGTTTGACACCCCTGTTCTACAGGGATCAACAAACTATCAATGCATCCATCCATATCTTCCCCTAAGCCACCACCAGAGGGAGGTGTACTTCATAAAGGGTAAAGAGACATTGACGTCGTTGATTAATTTGAATAAAAAGTGAAAATGTGATTGGCCCATCTCCTCATCATCAGCACTGGACACACACACACACACACACTCACTCCCATTGGTCCGGTTGTGGTCAGTCTTCGGCTTCATGTGTTTGACTTTGAGTTCTTCTTTTGTGTTTCACTGCTCTCTGCTCTCGGATGATGACGTGGTCTATAAATGCTGAATGAACAGGGTTTTAGCGGTGACTCATCCACCGACTGACCTAAATGTGCATCCGTGGTTTGAGGAACAACACGTAATATATCATATAAATAGTGTATTATATGTGTTTATTTTAGCCCCATGATTTTGAAAGTATTCACTCAAATAATTGATGTAATTCATGAAATGTATTCACTGGTCTCCTGGTCACCTCTGCAGTACTGGAGTCACTTTAAAACAGGCGTCTCCAACCTATGGCTCAGAAGAAACCAGTAGCTCGCCACCCAATTCCAAATACTGTGGCTCCCCAAAGGATTTAGTTTTTACACAGATATTTTGAGTATTAAAAAAATTAGGATTCACATGTCCACAACTTTTGTAAATGAAAACTGAAAATCTAAGACTACCCCATCCGAGGATTGCTCTTAACATTCAATGGACTCCTTTTCTCCCGGATGCTTAAAGGAGACTCTCTCTGGTCTTTCACTGGTCTTTCTCTGGTCTCTCTCTCTGGTCTCTCTCTGGTCTCTCTCTGGTGACTCTCTGTTCTTACCCTGGTCTCTCTCTGATCTCTCTGGTCTCTCTCTGGTTTCTCTCTGGTCTCTCACTGTTCTCTCTCTGCTCTCTCTCTGTTCTTACTCTGGTCTCTTTCTGGTCTCTCTTTGTTCTTACTCTGGTCTCTCTCTGTTCTTTCTCTGGTCTCTTTCTGGTCTCTCTTTGTTCTTACTCTGGTCTCTCTCTGGTCTCACTCTGGTCTCTCTCTGGTTCTCAGATTTAGATTGGAATAGTGCCAAGGGAACTTAGATAAATGAAGCTATATAATGAAGGAAGAATCCACAGACCTACTGATGAGTGAAAGGACTGTCCCAGAGCCATGAGGCATTCACTGACACCTCGTACAGTCAGTGACACATCTGGTCCCACCTCCTCCGCTGTCCCAACACTCTGTTCCCAGTGTGAAAATCATCATAATGACGTTTAATAATAACGCATGAGGCAGCAGTGTTTTCTCCATTCATTATTTTTAGCAACATGTGAAACAGAGGTAACAGTTTATTATTATTACCTCAAATCAGTCATGGAAGAAGTCAAACCTGTTCAGAAAAAACAAGAGTAAAAATGGACTCAGACTTAAATGTTAACAGCTTCCACATCAATAACATCAGCAGATTTTTACCACCTGAAAAAACATTGCCAGAATAAGAAATATAGTGTCTAAATCGGCCTCAAGATTCTTCTTCTGCATTTGTCTCCGGTCAGTTGCACCACAGTAACGGCCTACTCACTGGTCCCTCCAAACGAGCTGCAAAACAACTGTGTAGTTCGAGTTCTGATTAGAACCAGGAAGTCTTCTCACATTAGTCCTGGTCTCAGTCCTCTGCACTGGCTTCTTGTGGCTCACAGAAAAGACTTAGAAGCTGCTCTGCTTGTGTGCAAGTCTCTCCATGGCCTCACTCCAAAGTACATCTGTGACATATTTGTGCCATTTGAACCAACTTGGACTCTGAGGAGCACAGGGACAGGCCTCATGCTGGGACTCTGAGGAGCACAGGGACAGGCCTCTTGCTGGGACTCTGAGGAGCACAGGTACTGGCCTCATGCTGGGACTCTGAGGAGCACAGGTACTGGCCTCATGCTGGGACTCTGAGGAGCACAGGTACTGGCCTCATGCTGGGACTCTGAGTAGCACAGGTACTGGCCTCATGCTGGGACTCTGAGGAGCACAGGGACTGGCCTCATGCTGGGACTCTGAGGAGCACAGGTACTGGCCTCATGCTGGGACTCTGAGGAGCACAGGGACTGGCCTCATGCTGGGACTCTGAGGAGCACAGGGACTGGCCTCATGCTGGGACTCTGAGGAGCACAGGGACTGGCCTCATGCTGGGACTCTGAGGAGCACAGGTACTGGCCTCATGCTGGGACTCTGAGGAGCACAGGGACTGGCCTCCTGCTGGGACTCTGAGGAGCACAGGGACTGGCCTCCATGGTTCCAAGAATCAGGACAAAACATGGGTAAGTAGCTGATTCAAGCAACTAAAATGTTGAACAGTCTTCCCAGAAATGTGAGACAGGCTTCAATTCTGACATTGTTCAAATCCAGGTTTAAAACTGCTCTTCTTCTTTGTGCATTCCACTGAAGGATTGTATCTTCACTCATCCAATGCAATGGGAGTTAAAAAAAATGATTTCAATGTTTCTTTGCTTGTTTTGTTGAGCTGTCTGAGCTGCCTGGCCTTGCCTTAAACAAACCTATGACTACCTTTTGCTTCCTATTGACACTCATGATCTTCTTCCCATTGTAACTGCGACTGTTAAAGAAAATGCCGTCCAACAATGTGAACAGACCGGTTTGAGAGGATCTGTGAAGATTCTCTGGCGGCTGTAGAGTTTCTGGAGGATCCTGTTGCTTCTGGGGCGGGTTCATGTTTGTTATGACCGCGTTTTTATTTACGTGAGGATCAGCATCGACAGAAAAGTGCAATGGAAATGAGAGAGTTCCTTCTTCGCTTGTTCTGAGGAATTTCAGTCCAGAGAGGAGTCCCCATTGCTCCGGTGAGTCACAAACTTTGTGTCTATTTGTGATTCCTAACTCCCAGTAACCAGCTTTTGATTCAACATGAAGCTGTATTTCTGCAGACAGAGCACACTGTCACGGCGGCACGGTGGCTGAGTGGATAGCACTCTCGCCTCTCAGCAAGAAGGTCCTGGGTTCGAATCCCAGTCAGACCAGGGCCTTTCTGAGTGGAGTTTGCATGTTCTCCCCGTGTCTGCGTAGGTTTCCTCCGGGTACTCCGGTTTCCCCTACCACTAAAAATATGTCCAATAGTTCTGGCATGCGCCTCCTGTACTGGCCCCGCTCCCATCTCTGTGTGGAGTGAGAGACTAATGCCCAAAATAACAATTGTAAACCGCTTTGAGACTCAGATCTGCAGTGAAAAGGCGGTATATAAATAAAAGATTACTTACTTACTTACTTACACTGCAAATTAAGTCAAAGTGGTCAAATCAAAGAAAGACAGAAATATATGCTAGATGCTATGTTGGTATAGATCACGCATGTCAAAATGAGGCCTGTGGGCCAAATCCGGCCAGCAAGAACATTTTTAGTGGCTGCTGTTGTGATAATAAAAACACATGCACATGCTGACACAACAACACAGTGAATAAGTAATTTTTTTTGTATTGATTATAAGGTTTTTCTTTTTCAATCAATGTGTAATGAGGTAGACACTTTGCTGATTTGCAATTAAGCCCAGTTTTTTTCAGAGAGTAGGAGTCTTTCTTTATCTCGCTTAAATGGAAGACCGGGGCCAGGGCCAAGTCCCAGACCAGGACCAAGTCCTGAGACCTCTTCCACATATGGGGCCAAAGATGACACCTCCAGATACTCCTCCCCTTTGCACATATGATATCATTGTTTACCTGAATTTGTGTGAGTTTGTCTGAGCAGGGACAGATACAGAGGCTGACTACCTCTGAGATCATACAGGCCTGGAGGCTCTGTTTTTTTATCAGCTCTAGGGACAGTCAGGGGAATAGGAGCTCAGAGAGTTTTGTATTAGTATTTAATTATAAAGGGAATTGAATGTTATTTGGACCGAACTCTTGGATGTCTTGGCCTTCCTTTATGGTCAGATTTTGAATAATACTACAAAAGTTGGCGAATGTTTACAGATAAACCAGTATTAATTAGCGCGCCTCATAATCCAGTGGGCCTTATTCATGAAAATAAATGTATAATTTGATAGTGTGCCTTATACTCATGTGCGCCTTTTGGAGTGAAAAATACTGCATGTGAATAAGATGTCACGAGGAAAATTAGCATAACCCAAAATCCAGGGCTGCAAAAATAAATGTTTAATCAAAGCAATTACAATAACAGAACAGGGATTAAATACACAAGATGAACAACACACCGGTGCAACACATGAGGGCAGGGCCGGTCATCACTGTTATCTGGGGACAGATCTATGTGTACATGTGACCTGTTATCGCAACAGAAATAACTATGTAGATAATTTTATTGCAGTCATTGTAGTTATTTTAAATTAAAATATTATCCACTGTATCTTTAAGTTTTTTTCTCTTAATTTTGTATTCAACATGAGGACTTTCTCTACTTTCAACAGACAGTATGAATCTGTATAATATCATGTAAAATATATTATTAAACTACAGCAAATCCATGTCATAATCTTTCATAGCTGTTTAATGCTGCTGCCATGGCGACAGTGACGTGCACTCTGGGTACAGTAGTCCTGATCACATTATTGCTGTGGACAAACGCGCGGGTAAGACACATTCTTTAAATATAAAGAGACATTATTTAAGGTCAGATATGACACAGTTTGAAATGTTTAGGTTTTGAGAAACTCTGTTCATGAACTGAAACAGAAGCTGGAGTTTGTCAGCAGAGGTAAGCACAGTTCTACAATTAAAGCTGGGTACTTGACTTTTTTCTTTCATCAATAATTCATTATACTGATTTTCCCAGAAAAAATCTCGTAAAAGTCATTTGACCGAAGCAGACACAACATACTGTCCTCATCTAATTAAAAACATGTTAGTTTGTGCATTTAAAGATCCCTCTGAGTCATTATTTGACTCCTTGGGCCAAAAAGCAAGAGAGAGCGAGACGACAGTAATTGAGACCAGAGAGAGATAGAAAGTAAGTGTTTATTGTTTTTCCCCGGTTTCATATTATTCACTATTTTTCCGCCGAAACAACCCCTGAAGACATACACCAAAGTCTGCACATGGGGGGTCTAAAACAACCTGTTCGGCGAAATATTTGATAAAATGAACGTTTCGAGATAGTCCGACAAAAGGCGACTCAATAGCGCCCCCTGGAAATGTCAAATTTGCAAAGCCTATGGGAGCCAGGAATAAATATTTTGGAGTAGGTACATGAAATTCAGATCAGTGATAGATCTCTATGACAGTGTTTTTCAACCTTTTTTGAGCCAAGGCACACTTTTTTCACTGAAAAAATCTTGCGGCACACCTCCAGGAGAAAATTTAAAAATGTATACAGTACTAATGTAAAAAAATATATACTGTACATACTCTGTGTGATATATAAAGTATATCTTATCTTATAATGTATACAGTATACTCTGTAGCCTATATTCACAATATACAGTTATTCTCATCAAAATGCTTAAGTCCAGGCCTTGAAATTAAGCTTTATTTAATATTTCTCGATACAATTAACAAGAGTTTGGGAATAAAGTGGCACTAACTGTGTGGAAAAAAACTAAGAAAATCCACTCTCTGCCCAAATAGTCAAATAATAACTCACACAAAGAACATGCATTGTTAGTGTATGGGAAACATTTTGGTATCCGAGCTTTAAATTCAGGAGTTTTGAATGAGGGACACGGGAGGTCCTGAACGCGAGTCCATGGTTCTGTCCGGTCCGCATGTCTGTGGTTCTGTCCACTCGACTACGGTCTGCGCTCGGTACCCAGTTCAGAAGTGCGTTCGCGAGAGCTGTTGTACAAAAATCGTACATTTCATAGTTAAACCACTACAACGCGGCCACAGCTGCCCCGGGGCAGAGCGGAGGATGTTAATCCTGTTCAGAAACGGCATAATTCATTTTCAAAAACGTCTCTATCACTTTCACTTCTCACTCGCCACAAAGCTCTTGTCTCGCTCCATCACACATTTGTTGGTCGCATCCAATTTTACCTTTCTCGCCACAATGCTGACCTGTAGCCAGTGGTCGCATCCAATTTTTCAGTTTCAAAGTACTTAGCTATCTGCTGCCATCTACTGATTTGAAAAAGTATTACATGGTTACTCACAGTTCAAAACAAGTCACCGCTCGTCAACAGCGAATGCAGCTATTTTTAGACAAAGTAGACGAATTTCTCACGGCACACCAGACAATATCATACGGCACACTAGTGTGCCGCGGCACAGCGGTTGAAAAACACTGCTCTATGAGACCAACAGGAAGTCGGCCATGATGGGCAGAAGTTTTGCCGCCAATTTGACTTTTAATTTATTTATTCCAACTAGTCCCTGGTTTTTCATTACACAGAGTTCTACCACATCATTTCCCAATCTGGACGGATTGAAGTTATATAATCATTAATAAAAAGTTGCAAGATCATCACTGTTTTTGTCCCTCGCCATGGCAAAAAAGGCCTTCGTTTTGGCCATTTTCGCTGAGCCCTGAGGGCCACAGGCTCAGACCTATCAGTAATATTAGGTTATGGCCTGAACGCAATGACACTAAAATCATTCGCCCAATATGAGCTCTTTAGCGCCACCTGTCGGACAGTAATAGGGCACTAGTGCTCGGATCGGCCCGAAAATCACTGAGTGTAATCTCTGTACCGAGCCGAGCAAAAAATTACATTACGCAAAAGTTGTAGGTCCCAAACTTGACCACTGGGGGCGCCGCAAAGTGGATGAATGAGCTTTTTGAGGCAAAATGTTTGTTCGATGAAGCGAGAAAAAAATTCACAAATACAGCATATGAGTGTGAACATAATGATATGCATCACACAACTCTGAGTGCAACAGCGCCACCTACAGGCAGTTCAAGGTGTCGCGTTTTTGGCTTCGTACCAGTCCCTGGATTTTCATCGCACAGACTTCTACCTTGTCATTTCTCCATCTGGACGGATTGAAGTTATACAATCATTGCAAAAATGTTAGAATTTTTTGACCACAGGCTCAGACTTACAGAGCTGAAACTCACATCACTAACAGTTGGTAATGGCCTGAGCGTAATGGTGTGAAAATACACAGCTAATATGACTCTACAGCGCCACCTATGGAAGGCTTCTGACCAAAACTTTTCCGATCCTCACCAAAGTTGCACAATCAAATCTTTACACTAGTACGAGAAAAATACTACTCTACGTAGAGGGTGCATCAGATTCAGATTCAGATTCAGATTCATTTTATTTGCCATTTGCAGTAACACTACATTGGAATACATTAGTAAAAGTTCCCAGTGTGCACAGGACAAGTACAGACATAAAACAACATTAAAAGACAAAAATAAAACAAATTTTAAAAACAGTAAACAAATGTCACTGTGAAGTTGACCAACTAAAACAGATCTATACAAGTGCAAAAACATTAAAGTGCTCTATTCAAACAGCTCGTGGAAAAAAACTATTAGCATAACGAGATGTCCTGCATCTCAGAGAACAGTATCTTCTGCCAGAGGGAAGAAGCTGGAACAAGGCTTTTCCTGGGTGGCCAGAAGAGTCATTGATAATTCTCAGGGCACTGTTAAAAAGTCTGGATTGATAAAGAACCTCCAGAACAGGAAGTTCACAGCCTACAGTCCTCTTAGCAGAGCGGAGCACCTTGTTTAAAGCTCTCTTTTCTTTATCTGTGATGTTTCCGAACCACACAGACACAGAACCAACAAGTAAACTCTCAATGGTGCAGCGATAAAAGTTAAGCAGAATCTTAGAGTTAGTGGTAAATTCTCTAAGTTTGCATGTCCCGGATGTGACCACCAGGGGCGCACTTTATCCTGTAAAGGAGCTTTTATGTACATAGTCCTGGTCCGATTAGGCTGCTAATGCGTCGCCGAGTATGGCGCATGGCACTTGTGGGACTGGCGCCTGGGAGGCGGTCGCGAGAGTGGCGAGGCCTTTCATTGACACTTGCAGCTTTAATTTATATTTATTTTTCTATTGTTTTAGTGGTAGGGGTCACCGGAGCAGCCGGAGGGAACCTTCGCAGGCACAGGAAGACCATGTACTCTGTTCCGAACGGGATTTGAACCCAGGACCTTCTTGCTCAGAAGCTATCAACTCAGCCCACTTACTGCCTACAAGAGAGAGAGACAGAGATTGAGACACCCGTGAGAAAGAGACCAGAGAGAGAGAGAAACCAGAGAAAGAGAGACCTGTACGCTAATTGGCTGAATGAGTCCTCTCTTTTTCACTTTTCTGAAAGACCAGAACAGAGAGAGCCCGAAGAGAAAGATACGAGAGAGACCAGAGAGAGAGAGAGACCAGAGAAAGAGACCAGAGAGAAAGAGACCAGAGAGCAAGAGATAAAAGAAAAATACTAGAAAGTGAAAGAAAGCGTGGCAAAATACAAGCTGTGGGAAACCAGAAAGAGAGACCAAAGAAAGAGACTGGCGACGGAGAGAGAGATTAGAGTAGGACCAACGAGAAACCAGAGAAAGAGACCAGACAAAGATCATCCAAAGACAGAAACCAAAAATACATGCATGTGAAAACTAGCGATTGGAGTTGCGGGGTTTGTTGTAATTTGTTGTTGTGGTTTAAACGTTAGGTACCCCAGCTGTATTGTTGAAAATAAAGTTTGTATGTATGTATTATTATGCAGATGGAGACACAACTCATGTATTGACCAGACACAAACACAACGGTGCGTTCAGGAAATCTGGTGGACAATGGCCCCGGTCCAGAGACGGCAACGTGTATGTGCCCTGTGTGATCGATGACGGCTACTGTGAGGACATACAAAACTGTCTATGGTCTCTCTCTGGTCTCTGGTCTTTCTCTGGTCTCTCTCTGGTCTCTCTCTGGTCTCTGGTCTTTCTCTGGTCTCTCTCTGGTCTCTCTCTGGTCTCTCTCTGGTCTCTGGTCTTTCTCTGGTCTCTCTCTGGTCTCTCTCTGGTCTTTCATTTGTCTTTCTCTGGTCTCTCTCTGGTCTCTCTCTCTGGTCTCTCTCTGGTCTCTCTCTAGTCTTTCTCTGGTCTCTCTCTGGTCTCTCTCTGGTCTCTCTCTGGTCTTTCTCTGGTCTCTGTCTGGTCTCTCTCTGGTCTTTCTCTGGTCTCTCTCTGGTCTCTCTCTGGTCTCTCGCTGGTCTCTCTCTGGTCTCGTCTCTCTCTGGGATTTCTCGTGTCTCTCTGGTCTCTCTCTGGTCTCTCTCTGGTCTTTCTCTGGTCTCTGTCTGGTCTCTCTCTGGTCTTTCTCTGGTCTCTCTCTGGTCTCTCTCTGGTCTCTCGCTGGTCTCTCTCTGGTCTCGTCTCTCTCTGGGATTTCTCGTGTCTCTCTGGTCTCTCTCTGGTCTTTCTCTGGTCTCTCACTCTGGATAGACAACTTTTCCCACTGCCGCAAAACATTTAAGATTACTTTTAAAATACTCTTTCTTCATAAAATATGTAACTGCAGTTGTTACGTGGGGATGACTACAAAAGTTATACCCTGTTCAATAGAATTCTTTACAAAGGCCTCCACATAAATCAAGTAATGTTTTCTAATCAAATCCCAAAGCAAAATGTATTTTTCCATTCCAGCCACTAGATGGTAGTGTTTCTCAAACCCCGCTCATCAATCAATACATACTTTTGTAGGTTATGAAATGTCAAAAAGTAAACATTCTCAAGATCATGTTGTAAGGGCCATAATGAATATTTGTGTGGAAGAAATGGTGTTGACTTTTAAACATGTTTTATTCGTTGTTTATAGCGAGTGTTGCGAAGGCTGCGTTCATGATGGGTTTTGTCTTGTTCCACTTATCGACCTGCATCAGATTTGTCTCCAGAACCAACGAGACAGACTTTCTGCACATACAGCCCTCCAATGGGTGAGAAACAGACCCAACACTATTCATGCACAAGCAATACTTCCTCTCATTATAAAGAAGTATGTTCTCACTCTGGGGGCGGTTGTCTTTCTCTAACTTCGGGTCTTCTACCAGAGGCCTGGGAGCTTGAGGGTTCTGTGCAGTGTCTATGCTGTTCCTAGCACTGCACATTTCTGGACTGAGATTTCCGAGGTTGTTCCAGCTTCACGGTCACTGCCCCGAGTGCACCGATCACCATGGGCACTACTGTCACCTTTACCCTCCAGGCCCTCTCCAGCTCCTCTCTGAGCCCTTGGTATTTCTCAAGTTTTCAGTGCTCTTTTTGTCTGATGTTACCATTTCTTGGAATTGCCACACCCATCGAACATGTTGTGTGCACGTGTTGTGCCGCATCGATCTCAAGCTGTGATAACAGTGGCTGGTTGTGAATTTTGGAGCACAGAGCTTTAGTTTTTTTGGGGTCGTCTGTGACTGTGAGTTTCATAGTAACCATTCAGCCCACATTCTCTGCATATACAGTAACCTCTCTGGTCAGGGTTACTGGAGTAGTAGCATTGCAATCGCATCTCGCCCACTTTTGCCTTGTTCCAGAAGCCCATAATTTAATAAATACATACTATATATACACCATAAATCAGAAAACACAGATTGTCAGTGACGCTGCATACGGACACCCCATGGTGTGATGAATGCACCCCTGAATCTGGCCTCTTTTATGAACTGGTCCCTTTAGGCTCCCTCTGGTCTCTCTTTGCTCTTGCTCTGGTCTCTCTGTAGTCTTTCTCTCTTTGGTCTCTTTTGTGTCTATCTAGTCTCTCCAGTCTCTCTCTGGTGTGTCTCTAGTCTCTCTCTAGTCTTTCTTTTGTCTAGCTCTTTAGTCTCTCTCTAGTCACTCTCTGTTCTCTCTCTAGTCTCTCGCTGGTCTCTCCTTAGTCTCTCTCTCTGGTCTCTCTCGAGTCTTTCTCTTGTTTCTCTAGTGCCTCTCTAGCCTCTCTCTGGTCTCTCTAATAATAATCTAACTAACCAGAGACCATGGAACCCCAATAAATCTGTCCTGCCTCAACAAACGCTTACTTTCATTATGTTTACTTATACATACATTAGCACCATAGATTAAATGTTCAGATTTGAGCTGAGCTCTACAGCGAGATACAACATGCCTATAGTGGTAGAGCTGAAGTTGGCTGGCTGACACTGCTAACTTGTGTTTATGATCTCAATGGCTACTTTGTGTTTGCGCCAAAGGTCCATGAAATATGACACAGAGAGCCCCAAATGGCCAGCGGGCTTTATTTGGCAAATGTCTGGTTTATAGCAGTGTTTTTCAACCTTTTTTGAGCCAAGGCACACTTTTTTCACTGAAAAAATCTTGCGGCACACCTCCAGGAGAAAATTTAAAAATGTATACAGTACTAATGTAAAAAAATATATACTGTACATACTCTGTGTGATATATAAAGTATATCTTATCTTATAATGTATACAGTATACTCTGTAGCCTATATTCACAATATACAGTTATTCTCATCAAAATGCTTAAGTCCAGGCCTTGAAATTAAGCTTTATTTAATATTTCTCGATACAATTAACAAGAGTTTGGGAATAAAGTGGCACTAACTGTGTGGAAAAAAACTAAGAAAATCCACTCTCTGCCCAAATAGTCAAATAATAACTCACACAAAGAACATGCATTGTTAGTGCATGGGAAACATTTTGGTATCCGAGCTTTAAATTCAGGAGTTTTGAATGAGGGACACGGGAGGTCCTGAACGCGAGTCCATGGTTCTGTCCGGTCCGCATGTCTGTGGTTCTGTCCACTCGACTACGGTCTGCGCTCGGTACCCAGTTCAGAAGTGCGTTCGCGAGAGCTGTTGTACAAAAATCGTACATTTCATAGTTAAACCACTACAACGCGGCCACAGCTGCCCCGGGGCAGAGCGGAGGATGTTAATCCTGTTCAGAAACGGCATAATTCATTTTCAAAAACGTCTCTATCACTTTCACTTCTCACTCGCCACAAAGCTCTTGTCTCGCTCCATCACACATTTGTTGGTCGCATCCAATTTTACCTTTCTCGCCACAATGCTGACCTGTAGCCAGTGGTCGCATCCAATTTTTCAGTTTCAAAGTACTTAGCTATCTGCTGCCATCTACTGATTTGAAAAAGTATTACATGGTTACTCACAGTTCAAAACAAGTCACCGCTCGTCAACAGCGAATGCAGCTATTTTTAGACAAAGTAGACGAATTTCTCACGGCACACCAGACAATATCATACGGCACACTAGTGTGCCGCGGCACAGCGGTTGAAAAACACTGGTTTATAGCAATCAAGATAGATAGATAGAAAAATAGAGAAATTCATACAGATGATAGACCTTATTATATCAATGTACCACAACTTTTACAGACTTTCCCCTTCTTTTTAATTCAACAACTCTATGGTTATGAAGAGATTCTGTTGGCAGGTGCCGATCCGTGGTGGGTCGTCAGGGAGGACCTCAGCTTCTGGGTCTGAAATTCCCAGAGTGTTTTGAACTGGGAACGATTCACCACGAGCTGCTTCACGCCCTGGGCTTCCACCACGAACACAACCGATGGGATCGTGACCAGTACGTTCGAGTCCTGTGGAGGAACATCCACCAGCGTAAGGAACTGTGCAGATCAGAGAGACCAGAGTACATACTTTATCAACATTCATGGACATTGGTCAGCTGCCTCTTATGTACCAATAGACCAATGATGGCTTTGTAAACTCTTGAGATAACTACTGTTGTTATTTAGGGCTGAACAAAATAAATGTAATTGAATTAGATAAATTATAACCTGGAATATTGGCTCCTCTCGGCGCAGAGGAAAGGTGGCTCTCCGTGACTGAGATCCTCACCAAAAGCATTAGTACCTAGCCACTCTGCAGGCAAATTTCATTCTGACCGCTCAACTAAATTTATTAGTATTTTGTGCTAAATCACAACAGTAGTCGCCTCGGAGGACTGTGGATTCACCAACAACAGAGAATCAAACCGTTCGAAAACAAGAAATCCACTACTAAACAAACATAGGAGCCAATGGTTCATTGGGAGCAGGATGACCACTGTCTAGAAATGTTAATAAATGTGCAGAAATGTCCTGGATATTCATGTCCCAGATCCTCCTGCATCAGGGAGGAACTACTTAGACACCCAGAGGGAGGCCCATATTGAGAGAGGGATCTGCTCCCACAGACCATAGGCTGTAGATCTAGGATTTAGGCTGTAGATCCAGGACTGAGGCTGTAGATTTTGGAATGAAGCTGTAGACCCAGAAGCACTTTATATGACCAAACCATTATTACTCATTATTGTGACTGTAGACAACCTCTTTGGATTATATACTTCTGCTATGATACAGTGGACTTCTGCTTTATTCACTTTCATTCAAAAATTAACTTTCCACAACCAAAAGGTTATCACAGCTGCAGAGTCATGACCTGCAACTGCTGTTAAGCCTTGAAAACTGTGTTACTATGGTTACAAAACTGCATAGAGACCACAGTTAAGGAAGGTCATCTTGTCTTATTTGCTTAACTTATTTGGCTCTTCTAAACCAAACAACCCTTCTGAGGAAGAGAAGCATTCCATCAAAATGTGTCACCGTAATCACACCACTGTCATAAACAGAAACAACACTCACAATATTGTTTTATTGTGTGTTTTTTTAAGGTGACAAACGTGAATTCAAGAGGAGGCTCAGTCTGAACGAGAGGACTCCATACGACTACAGCTCTATCATGCACTACAGCAGGTCAGGCCACTATTTGCATTATTTATTTATTTGATATAGACACAAACATTGGACAGGTACACTGCCTTTACAGTTATAGCAAGAGCATGCTGATTTTCAACACAAAGTCAGTTGTAGCATCCCACTGTCTGGCTCCATTGGAGGAAAAGGAGGACTGTCCACAATAAGTTCTGAACTTAGGAGCCACACAGTCCCCACTGACTGAGGCTCTGATGTTACCTCTATAGAACTGTATAGTTACTGTCAGCATTCAAAGTGTTCAAACATCAGAAAGAGAAAGAAACAGAAGAGGAGAAATGTTTGTATCTTCCCCCTCACTGCTGGTTATCACATGGTTATAACATTGTGTCCTATGTAAGAAGATCCTGGGTTCGATTCCCCCTCTAGACCTTTCTGTTTGGAGTTTGCATGTTCTCCCTGTGTCTGTAGGTTTTCTCCTGCTGCTCGGGTTTTCCCTAACACTAAAAACATGTTCGATATTTCTCCTGTATGGGGACTCTATTCCCATCTCTGTGTGGAGCGTGAGACAAATGCCCAATTGTAAAGCACTTTGAGTCACTGGTCTGTGAAACGTACTTATTTACGTTCACAGGCTGGTCGGCTCTAAGAACGGTCTGCCCACAATGACAGCGGTGCAGGATGGGGTGGAGTTCGGGACCTCGAGCTCCATGAGTCCAACGGACGTGGAGAGAGTGAACAAGGTCTACTGCAGCTGAACCAGGACCAAACACTCTGGGACTCTAATCCACAACCTGGAGGGTGTTGCTGCTGAAGCCAGACACCAATCTAGTGGTGGACTGCAGTACTGCAGACTAAACTCCCCATGGACCTCAGTGTGAACTGCAGCAGCTCCTCATCAGATACAGGGATCTACGGCTTTCACAAAGAAGGATTTTGTGAGGATTTTAGTGTTTTTTGTCATCCTAAACTTTTTCTCATTTGAAATACATAGGTTTCCCGTGAATCTACACTTTTGTGTATGGTCTCTCTAGTCTCTCTACTGGTTTATCCATGGAATCTTTCACCGGTCTCTCTCTGGTCCCTCCCAGGTCTCTCTCTGGTCATTCGCTTGAAACCGCTCAAAAGGCCATAAGTACAATCTTATTTATTCTGCCTGGTTAATTCAATTCAATTCTCTGACATTGTTCAAATCCACGTTAAAAACAGTTTTGTCTAGCGGTGCATACAACTGAAGGATTTCATCTTTACTCGTTTTAATGTATGGTGATTATTTTAATTCCTTGTTGTTTCTATCTGTTTTTGTTCAGCACTTTGAGTTGGTTTGAACGAACAGTGCTAAACAAATAAACTTGCCTCGCCTTTCCTATATTGTGAAGGACATAATTTAGGTCACTGTAAAAATGAATAATAAATTACATAAAGTTTCCGACTCAGAGGCAGATGGACCAGTCTCCCTCTGAAGACCATGTTTCTCCAAGCTTCTATTTCACCAACTGCTCATTTATCAGACAACAACAAGTAGATCTGTTGGAACCACTAGGGGCAGCAGTCACTCACTATATTCATCGTAGTTGGACTTTAAACTGATCTCTGCAGAACCAAAACATCCCACTGGAACAGTCCCAATCAGGGAAGAGTAGAGTAGAGTAGATCCAAGTATAGAGTAGAGTAGATAATTCAAAAAAGGTATTATTGTTGTTTGGACCAATTAGAAGTAACAAACCATTCAGTTAAAATAATCTTCTCCTCTCTCTCATTTCCTCTCACCTATCTCTCCTCTCCCCTCTCCTCTCCTCTCACCTCTCTACTCTCCTCTCTCTCTTCTCTCCTTCCATCTGCAACGACATGAGCACACAGCAGCTCTCCCTCTGCAGAGCGGGAGAGAGCGTGGGAGGCAGCAGATTCTCAGGTGCATGAAAAGCTGCTGTTATTACTGTGAGCTGATGTTGACAGACTGTGGGAGAGACTCAAACTCACTGATCTCACACGCTTAAAGCCACGGTACCTGACTTTTGAAGCACAAATAATGGAACCCCATTCATCTTGATCATCGCTCCAGAAATGGTATCCCTTCTATCACTAGATTTGACATACATGTGAGTTTTTAGCTCTGTCACGTCATCAGATCGGCTTCTTCAGACAGAAAATGAGAAGACCGACCTCACTCACCCAATCAGCTGTCAACCTAAAGAGTCGAATATTGACTCGTAGGTCTCTTTTTACACGTATGCAACATATAACATGTTCGATAATACGCTGACGACTGCTGTGGCCAAATTTGTACATAACCTACTTTTCATATTCTTAAAGAGTCCAGAGAGAGTCATCAAAAAGAGGGTTAAAGGCCTGTTTTTCCTCACTCTTTTTAATGTACTTATTATGCAGCAAGTTGCCTTGTTTGTGTGAACTGTGCTATACAAATAAACTCGCCTTGCCTAGAATGACCAGTTAATATTTGAGCTAACGATTGTCTTATTTCTGACCCTTTTAGACAAACAACACATTCTAACCCTGGTGTAGTTTACACATAGACTTTGTGGCAGATCTCCTTCACTAAACATTATGTTTCGCTTCACAACACTGACTGAGCACCAATGGCATCAGCTCTATTCCCACAAAGAGCCCGCTCACTTGTGCCAATACTCCAAGATGCGCTGGATTCCTTCAGTCTGCTGCTAACCTCCCTTTGTCTGGGACCCTTTCTGTGTCATAATGTGCTTTTCTATTGATACGGGCCTCTCCATTGTCCCGCTCTGAAGCCTGGGACCTCTCTTGACCCCTGCTAAGCTGCCTTAGTGTTGAACTATAGGCTCCAGTGCACTTTAGCCTCAGGGTGCTGGGGTCTTGGAGAATGACCAGTGGGAGAATGCCGCTGTCCTCTTCCGGACCTGGCTGAGAAGGATGAGCCAGAGGGATGAGGAACCAGCCCCCCTACTGCGGGCCGTCCCAGCCCAGGCCTGAACAGGTCAGTGCACCCACAGGACAAGGCCTCAGCCCAGGTCACGGCTTTGTCTCAGACACAATGATGTGAATGTAGTGGGACGCGTCCAAAAGAGAGATGGAAGATACGGGAAATCTCAGGAAGTCTTCTTTTTAATCTTTATTGCATCTGATTGTGTGCGTGGGCATTCTTAAAGTTTGCATGAATTCAATTAATTATATTTGTGTATTTTCCCTAAATCACAACAGCAGTCGTCTCAGAGGACTTTGAACATTTGTGGATTCACCAACAACAACGAACGAGAATCAAAAAGTTTGAACACCGGAAATGCAAAAATAACAAACACATATGAGCCATTGGTCCATAGAGAGCGGGATGACCACTGTCCAGAAATGTTCATAAATGCCCCAGATCGTTATTGTTCTTAGACCCTCCTGCATCGGAAAGGAACCACTCAGAAACCCAGGACCGAGGCTTTAGATCCAGGACTGAGGCTTTAGATCCAGGACTGAGGCTTTAGATCCAGGACTGAGGCTGCAGATCCAGGACTGAGGCTGCAGATCCAGGACTGAGGCTGTAGATATTTTTGAATGGTCAAAAATATGTTTGTAATTGAAGAGCTGTACAATATCTACAGAACAGTTATTGTATTTTTCTTTATCACTTTCCGATTTTCCAAAATCACAGTATCCATGAAGGTGATGACACACATCCGCTGATAGGCCATAATATCAGCTGAAAAATGTCTTTCTCCGGTCTCTCTCTCGTGTCTCCTTCTGGTTTCTCTTCCTTGTCTCTCTCTCATGTCTCTGTCTGATCTCTCTCTCTGCAGTCTCTCTCTCTCTCTGGTCTCTCTTTCACAGTCTCTCTCCGGACTCTAGCCTCTGCGGATGTCTTGTGTGAGGTATCGGCGGTGGCAGTGTTGTCAATGCCCACTCTGATTGAATACCTTTTGCACCGGAGCAGACCAGATGGACCAATCACACGTCCCAAAACCAGACAAACAAGATGGCGGCCGGCGGAGTGGAACGGAGCACAATCTCGGATCACTGCTCAGAGGTCTGAGGGTTTCAACTTGAGCTCTGACATTTCACATTATATCATTGCGCACATTCTTCTCATCACTAGATCTCCGGTGGACGTGTGATGACTCCTTACTGTATGTACATTTTTGGTCAAATTTAACCCTTTTTCATTGTCCTGGACTGGTTCTGGACTGGTCCTGGTTAAAAGGGAAAAATATATATATAGAAATAACTGTTTAGTAAAAAAGTAAAATAAAAAAATACGGCTCTACATCTAAATCTAGGACGTAACGTATTTTCTGACATTGTTTCTCTTATGTAAACGCCAGATTCTGTCAGACCTCTAAAGCGAGGCCGCAGCTGTGTGCCAAACTGGAGTTGTGTCCTTCGGCAAGACACGTTTATCTTCTGCGTGTTTGGAGTGAACGAATAATTCTGAGTCCAAAAAAAAATGTTATAAACCAATACATTATCTTTATTATTACTATTATGAATGAGTTAATTATAGTTATTCACATTTGAACCAAAATGCGTTTATTGCCGAACTCAGTGGACATTTGTGCCAGTGTTATTCCCGACAGATTGGTCCAGGAACCACAGAGAAATCAATAAAGTAAATTAAATTATTTGTTGGATGTGACTTTGATGAATAATGTTGCTGCTTCTCTGTGAGCCTTAAAACACAGTCTTTATATCAGCAAAACCTGAGGAATCTGCAGCAAAGTCCAAAGTGAGAATCGGCCTCTAAACGTTCACAGACTCTGGATGTAAAATCAATAGTGTTGTCGTCAATCTGCTCGTTCTAATCCTCTCAAGGTCAGAAGCAGAATGAGAAGCTCGAGAGGAGAAGCAGACTTCATATTTAGGGATTTACCTGAAACTACCTCTGCTGCTGTGACGGAGGAAAGAATTGTCCTGGATTTGATTCCAGCTCCAGACGGGGAGAGTGTGGAGTATGCATAAGTTTCCTCTGGGTGCTCCGGTTTCCAGCACCACTAAAAACCCGTTCAATGAGAACGAATGTAACGAACTTTAGAGCGTATCATAGAAATGGACAGACAAATGTGACATCACCATATGACAGCGCTGAACCACAGATTTAAGCCCAAACGGTTACGGAACTAGAGGAGTTGACTTTTACATGTAAGTCAATAGAAATCAGAGCGAGTTGGAGCAAAACTTTGTCCATGACCACTTCCCTATAAAGCTTTATCGAGAGGGTCAGAGAGAGAGAGACCAGGAAAAGACCAGAGAGAGACCAAAGATAGACCAGAGAGAGACCAGAGAGAGACCAAAGATAGACCAGAGAGAGACCAAAGATAGACCAGAGAGAGACCAAAGATAGACCAAAGAGAGGCCAGAGAGAGAGAGACCAAAGATAGACCAGAGAGAGACCAAAGATAGACCAGAGAGAGACCAGAGAGAGACTAGAGAGAGACCAGAGAGAGACCAAAGATAGACCAGAGAGAGACCAAAGATAGACCAGAGAGAGACCAAAGATAGACCAGAGAGAGGCCAGAGAGAGAGAGACCAAAGATAGACCAGAGAGAGACCAAAGATAGACCAGAGAGAGACCAGAGAGAGACCAAAGAGAGGCCAGAGAGAGAGACCAAAGAGAGGCCAGAAAGAGAGACCAAAGATAGACCAGAGTGAGACCAGAGAGAGAGACCAAAGATAGACCAGAGAGAGGCCAGAGAGAGAGACCAAAGATAGACCAGAGAGAGATCAGAGAGACCAAAGATAGACCAGAGAGAGACCAAAGATAGACCAGAGAGAGACCAGAGAGAGA